CGGATTTCAGCTTTGTACAATAGAAGAAAATGAGCTGGCGCGAAATAGAATTCCAACCTTGCGCGTAGCACAAGAAGCAAGCTTAGCCATAAAAGGGAAACAGAGTCTGTGGAGTGCAGTTGGGTGGAATTAAAAGATGAATGGTTGGAGAATGAATTGCTTTAAAGAAATCGAAAGAAGAGAGGTTTTAGAACTATTGAATGAAACATGGTTTGTAATGCTCCAGGAAGAGATGTCTTGGAGATCGGATTCCACTGATACATTAACTGCACTACGGTCACCATCGATGTTGGCCTGGGTAAGCAAGGAGTGCGGTTGGAGAGGGAGCAGTGGAGGATTGCGTCATCAGCAAAAGAATGAATCGAGTTGGCAGTTTGAGAAAGGAGATCATTGGCAAATAGAAGGAAGAGGGTGGACGAAAGTACTGAACCTTGGGAAACACCAGCGTTCTCTGGGAATGGCTGAGATAGAACCCCGTCAGCTCGGACGGAGATGGTTCGCTTACTGAGGAAACTTGATACCCACGCTATGAACGCTGGAGGGAACCCGAACATGGATAGTTTCGTCAGTAGACCTTCGTGCCAACCTCGGTCTAAGGCCGTTTAGATGTCAAACGAGACCAAGTGTGCTTCTCCGTGGTTATCGAGTGGAGCTGACCAGGATTGCGAGACAAGAGTCAGCTAATGCTAATGCACACAAAAAGATCTTTTTCATGAACCCCTTCGAATCAGCAATAGGTTCCATTCCTACACGGTATTAAAATGTTTTAGATTATCAAACTGCTCATTTTTCGATAAACCCGTAGAGCTGAACCAAACAGAACCTAAAAAAAGAGATGCTTTTTCAAAGTGAAAAGCGGATACTCATTGTCAGAAAAATTATTGCTGCATAAATCAATCAATCAATCAATTGCTGCACAAATCATACAGTATTACCGCGGAATATTTTTATAAGCTGGCGGTCAGCCACCACACTGACCAACGTGAAGACACTAAGAATAACCTGCAGCAATCTTCCGGCAGAATTGGAAAAATATTCGACGGAAATGAACATCATTAGTATCCATAAGTTGGGTCGACTAGCTGGTACATGGTGAGATGTTCACATCACTCCAGTGCCTATTATTATTAAGACCCTTTCCTCTTCTGTTGATCGCTGAGATTGTTCAATGCAAAGTCTACGACGTTATCATCCTTTATATTCTAAATGAAATCATGATACAGTCCTTTCTCCTGCAGGCATTTTTACCGTTCAAACTTCAAGTAAATCCACCGTCACTTCAATTAGTCCCAAACGAATGCATTCTATGGAGAAGTGAATAAATCCAAAGATCAAAATAACAACCATGAAATCAATCTATGGTTGTCTTGAGAAGGGCAGTTTCTACGTTCTCTATTGGAACCAATCTCAATGGTCTCTTATGTCTTCACCGTCAAGAGCAGGCATGTAAAATTTCTGCGAAGGTCGCACGAACCCAGTGAAATGAGAATCGGGGATCGAAGATATCACTCTCGCAACTGACTGCTTCAAGAAATGCATTAGCCATTCCGCTTGACTGACTATACCTTCAGGATCCCAGTGAAGAAGGCTCCAATACTTATCGCTCAAATCGAGCTGGACTTTGCTCTTAAGCAAGCTCCACATATGCTCAATCGGATTGAGCATTGGCGAGTATAGCTGTATTCTCAGCAGCTTTGACTCACAATATGTGAATATTGTGAGTGAATGTGTCACCCAGTCTATTGTGGCAAGGCGCATTGTCGCAAACGACAGTGATTTGCTTGATGGGTACTTTTGGCTGGAGTTGATTCATCACCGATCGCATTGTGTGATAAAAAATGTCTTTCGTCGATGTTTCTTACGGAACAATACTTATTCTGAAAACGAATAACCCTTTTTAACAAACAGATCGACTGCGTTGTTTTGTTCAGTTCTGTGGGCTGAGCTAGAAATGGGCGAGGCACACTCAAGGTAGAACTGGTTTTGATTGCTAAGCCATTGACGATAGCCAGTCCATTCACCCACGTTCACCTCAAGAACTCCAACCTCTGTCACTGAACAAATATTGTTATTCACATAGACCCATGATTCTCGTACATCGCTCGGATTGCACCGTAAGCCCAAAACTCGTCCCCGGTCGTAGTTACTGTGGTCAGCTTTGATTATTGAGCTATCGTCAATGTTAGCGCAACTACGAATAAATGTACTTTAGCTGTAGTGGGCACGAAGCCGTGCGCCACCCTTTATGCTTATCGAGTGGCGTCCGGCTTGGTTGTTACACGCAAATAGCGTGGCTCCACCGACCCACCGAATCGAAGTCCGTCACAGAGCTCGACAAGATGCGTCGTGCATCCTGTCGAGCTCTGTGACGGACGTCGAGGTTGGCCTCATTTCAACACAGAAAGAGCACGGGAAGAAAGGTGGTCAATCCGGGGGTAGAAAAAATATGTGATCAATTGACCAATGAGGTGCGCTGAAAGGAAGCGGATTCAACCACAGCGTTTCTTTCTCAATTCCAAGTTATGGTTTCTCAATTCAAAATGACGGCTTCGCAAATGAAAATTATAGTTTCTCAAAGCTATCTTAAAATGGTACAGAAGTGCATCTCACAAACTGTCCTTAGACCCGGATCACGGTGACCTTTGGCAAGTCACTTGTCTAATTTTATCCGTGTTCTAGGGGAGAGTATCGTTCATTATTCACACAGATGCGCCCGCGCTACGGTGGTTATCGATCGCTGGGAGCTGATACCTCACTCCACACAGCCGGTTGCCAGTCAGTCGCGATCATCTTTCACCCATTTGCACGTTAGTGCGACAGAGCCCATCGATGGAGCGAATGACCGTGGCTTTAGCGACCACTGTAGTAAACAATGACCACATTTCAGTGCCTCACAGTTCAGTTCAGTGCCCCACGGATTGGCAAAAAAGCTTGGCAGATTACAAAGGTGAATATTTGGCAAAATCATAAATCATCGTATGTCTCAGCTTGGCTCTCCTTTGGAACTCAACAAATACGTTGTTTAAATCAATTCTACACACCAATCATCGAATCGAACTCCGAGCATTAGCCAAGGCAAACAACTTCAATTGATACAATAACTTCTGCGCCTCTCTGATCGACATAAATTCCGTCACCGTCTCACATTCATCTTCTTCTTTGCGATGCTAACCTTGATTCGAAACGAATTCATATAATGACCAAAAAAAGACTTGATACAAAAATTGTAAATAACCCACTTGTTCGTCATCAAACAGAGCGCCTTTGAGAAACCATTTGCGGTTGACATCGGACAGCCAACTGTGAAATCACGCAGAAGTCATCTATATATTATTTGAAGAGTTGACTTCATGGAAGGCTTTTTCTATCTATACCTCGGAGGTATCGTGAAGTTTGAAACTATCCGATCACCAACGGTGACAACTGTTCTCCAATCATGCTCCCACAAAGTAGTTACTTGAGCCTCTCTTTGGATTTCTTGGACCCAGAAACTCTTTCCTTTTAGACTTAATGTTCTTTGTGGGAGCTGTCTGCAATACAAAGCTGTTTCATCTGCATTGAAGATATCACAGCCAGAATACCTATGTATCAACTGCGGTAACCCCGCTCGAAGCTCGTCCACTGCATCACGTGGTACCGCTAAACTTTCTCCACAAACCTATAAAGCAATGCACATGAGTTGCTTGTTTCCTACTTTATGCGATTGAATACAATAACTGTCTGACCAACAGCGGAATCAACCTTTGGAAGCCTGGAAGTCATCATGATGCAATCTTTGTGCTAGCTGGATTGCCTTCTTACATACGATGCTCTCCACAATTGAGAACTCTCCGAGCTTTTCACTCATATCAGTAAACCAAGTCAAAGTTGCCTTATTCACTTGCCTTGAACTTTTCGTTGGTTTTCAGGTGGCATCTTCCCTCGGATGCCCTGGCGTCCGAAAATTCTCCGATAGTCGTTCGATGAGATTTAACAGTTTTTCTCGAAATTCTAAATGATTAAGCAACGGAGCTCTGAGTTGCACCTGGCTGTTTCAGTATTTCCAACACATTCTGCCTATCTCTGATCGATAGCCGCTTGCACATTTTGACGTCAAATTATACTGTCTGCGATCACTTACATCAGTGTGACTTCCTCGCAAGAATTACCCAAGCAGTGAACAGTGCCATGAACGCGTCACACTAGGTGAAGCGCCATTGGTTGAGTGCAACATTTCAGGGTGGTTGGTCAATTGTCGTCCCGAACATCGGTCAACGACCAAGTGAATACGTATCAGGAACTGCGACATACTGAGGACAGCGACAATGTATGGTCAGAAACTACATTATTACGTATACGGTTGGTTTGAGTTTTCAAAAAAGTAGGAAGATATTGAAAAATGCGACTTCTCTGGGGAGCAACAGGCCAGGAGATTGACTGTATATATAATGAGGCTATTGTGACGAAAATACACTTCCTGGGTACAAGTATATGAATGAACTGGCAAAAGGTTACCGGATACGCATGCCTGACGAGCGGCAAGAACCGCGAAACTGGTCGTGTGCTTCCAGGAAACATTTTTTCAGTCATTCAAATATTACTTATTATGAAATATATATCGGCTCTCAGACTGTTACGTAAACCATGGTATAAAATACCTTACGGATTGAGATAAAGTACGACGAATCCAACATAACAAGAGGAAAAACTTCCTAATATCATCTCGGCGCATGTTTATCCCTGTGAATAACAAACTATCGAGCACACTTTTGATGCTATATTTATTTCGGGTTTTTTTATGTGGCCTGTATCTCTCCTATTGGTGATGCGAAGAGGCATTGTGTTTGTTTTCAATGCAATTGAATTAAAACTTTTGAAGGACACAGTTCCATAGTACAAACTCCGTCATATCGTGACGGACAATTTGTATTCTCTTCTCCTCTAGGTCTACAGAAAATCGATAATACTCAATAATCATGTGAAACCAACATTTTGCGACAGCAAGTAATACCTAAACTTACTTTATTAAAATGTTCTATGGCAGCTATCAGGCTGATCACGTGAACGTTCCCATGAACGTCAATTAGAGCCACGGATGAACTGCATTTTAAGGAATCAGCTGGAAATGCGTGATGAGGAATACCGTCCGTAACAGTCATAGATGAACGATGCGATTCGAAATTGGACACAAAGGGGTCTGTGCATGTTCCCATGCCCAAAGTGAAAAGACATTTCCAACACACTCCAGTACACGAGTCATCCACGCTCTGATCCGTGGATGTTTTCTTCTGTGTGGGACGCTGTTTTCTGTTTCGTGTAAGACAACGCACACGATGATCATTCCCAAGAACCATGAGGAAACCAGAAAGCTAAAAACGAAAGAATCAATGACACACATCTCATTACCAATTGGTCCATTGAAATTGCACATTATGACAATCACAGTAATAATTATAATGCGTCTGTAAGCAGACACGGAGGAAATTAACAGTTGACCCTTAACAGATGCAGCTGACGAAATAGTAAAACAGTGAGAGAGAAAAGAGAGACTTGGATAGTAGTCTGAAATTTGAAACTCAAAACCTACGAA